ATTCATCCCCTCCCGGGGGGATACAATATTATTTTATTTTAACTCATAGCAATTCTTAATTAAAGTTTCATTTTTTATAAACTCAATAAGCCTGCACTTGGCTACATCTGTGATCTGTCTGCTTCAATAAGGGGTGGGGGTAAAAATACAATACTATTTTATTTTAACTAATAGTAATTCTTAATTAAAGTTTTATTTTTTATAAACTCAATACGCTTGCACTTGGCTACATCTGTGATCTGTCTGATTCAATAAGGGGGGGATACTACGTGATACTTTTCTCTTATGTGGAAGTTTGTAATAGTTTTCCTAGCTCATAAAAAGGTTTGAGTAATTTTGTGTGCAAAATTCTAATGATTCGCGCTGGTTTTGTGATATTTATCCTATTTCTCCCAATCTCCCAATGAAAAGGAATCATAGCACAAGTATTTTCCTAAAAGCAAATCCAAATTTAGACCAGTTTCAAACATTTCTCTCTCGTGTCAGGGCCCACATCTCATACTACGTCGGTCTTGCTCATTTTATGTCACCATCTCCCCTCTTCCTATTTATACATCCATCAACGTCATCATCAGAGCCGTAGAAGCACCCCGACCGCATCAAGGTCAACGGCTGGGATTCCTCATATAATAATCACAGCTTGTTACCTACGGAATTCAAATAATCAATGCGTACTATTTTTATCTATAAACCCCAAGTTTTATCATAATTTATTTTAACCCAAAATAGCTGTAGCGAGTTCTTTTTTTTATATTTTCTAATTACAATACTTAGTGACTTAGTTTTAAGGGAAAAATGTGTCCAGGCCCCAAAAACATAAACTTCATGTGCTGCAGCCCCTTCTAGTTTCCCCCATGTGGTTCAGCCCCTTAAAGTGTGACGTTTTGTGCTGCAGCCCCTTTTTAACAATTATTACATGCCAACTAAGCTAAAATCCCTAAAATAACCTTACCCCCTCTCCTCAATCCTTCAAACCCAGTTCTCTCTCTCTCTCTCTCCCCCCCTCTCTCTCCCCTCTCTCTCTTTAAAAACAAGGGTTTTATCAAGCTCGTCGCTCTGGCCCTCGCCCTCCTCGCCGTCGCCACCTCCGCCCAGGCTCCCAAGCCTCCCCCGAGTTCGTCGCCGCCTCCCCTCCTCTCCTCCGCCCGACCTCGTCGCGGTAGCTCGCCGTCGCTCCCCATCTCGCCCTCGACTACGCCGGAGTTCGTCGCTGTGCCTGCCACTTTTGAACCCATAGTATGGTAGGCCGGAGGAGGATGACCAAGAGAAAAGAGTGCATGATGCTCAAGAAAAGTAAAAAATGAAGGGGACAGAATAGAACTAACATTGTGCAGATTAGAACTAACACTGTAGACAGAATAGAACTAACATTGTAGACAGAATAGAACTAACAGTATAGACAGAATAGAACTAACATTGTAGATAGAATAGAACTGTAGACAGAATAGAACTAACATTATAGACAGAATAGAACTAACATTGTAGACAGAATAGAACTGTAGACAGAACAGAACTAACATTATAGACAGAATAGCATATTCTTGTACTTTAACTTGGAACTAGATGCAACTTATGACTCTGTCTAGTTTCTGGTATTGGTTTATGATTCAACAAATGATAATTTCTCCAACCAAGTTCGTGCCGCTTATTGAGTTTGTAATTTCTGGTGTTACCAACCACAATTATTTCTGTCCAGAATTGTCCAAAATACAATCACCCTATAAGAAAGTTGTTGGGTCAATTACAAACTTGGTTGAAGGGATTCGAAGTAAAGATTGAGGCATTCCGGCATGTCTCGCAGATTCTTCACACTCGTGACAATTGTGTAGAGTCTTCCTGCTGCTTTTGCCCATTTTCAAAGCATGGTTCCTGTTTACAGAATTGAGAATAGTAGTCAGCCAAAATGTTGCCAAGGAGCAAAATGCTGCATGATTTACGATACGTTCCCATTTCCAAAATAGAAAACTGTAACCACGTAGTCAATTTCAAACCACTAAAACTTGTATGCAAACGAACTACATGTCTATAGTAATCCAGAAGTCCAGCTCGAGAGCTTAAACAGGCAGAGGAACACATTAAGAAACTGATACTGTTATTGTCAACCAATGACGAAACAGCCAGAATGCTCTATTTCAATCTAATGACAGGGTGTAAATTTCTGTAAAGAATATGAGCATGCTCATTTGTTGAATCATAAACCAATACCAGAAACTGGACAGAGTCATAAGTTGCATCTAGTTCCAAGTTAAAGTACAAGAATATGCTATTCTGTCTATAATGTTAGTTCTGTTCTGTCTACAGTTCTATTCTGTCTACAATGTTAGTTCTATTCTGTCTACAATGTTAGTTCTATTCTGTCTATAATGTTAGTTCTATTCTGTCTACAGTTCTATTCTATCTACAATGACAGTTCTATTCTATCTACAATGTTAGTTCTATTCTGTCTACAATGTTAGTTCTATTCTGTCTACAGTGTTAGTTCTAATCTGCACAATGTTAGTTCTATTCTGTCTACAATGTTAGTTCTATTCTGTCTACAGTTCTATTCTGTCTACAATGTTAGTTCTATTCTGTCTACAGTGTTAGTTCTAATCTGCACAATGTTAGTTCTATTCTGTCCCCTTTATTTTTACTTTTCTTGAGCATCATGCACTCTTTTCTCTTGGTCATCCTCCTCCGGCCTACCATACTATGGGTTCAAAAGTGGCAGGCACAGCGACGAACTCCGGCATAGTCGAGGGCGAGATGGGGAGCGACGGCGAGCTACCGCGACGAGGTCGGGCGGAGGAGAGGAGGGGAGGCGGCGACGAACTCGGGGGAGGCTTGGGAGCCTGGGCGGAGGTGGCGACGGCGAGGAGGGCGAGGGCCAGAGCGACGAGCTTGATAAAACCCTTGTTTTTAAAGAGAGAGAGGGGAGAGAGAGGGGGGAGAGAGAGAGAGAGAACTGAGTTTGAAGGATTGAGGAGAGGGGTAAGGTTATTTTGGGGATTTTAGCTTAGTTGGCATGTAATAATTGTTAAAAAGGGGCTGCAGCACAAAACGTCACACTTCAAGGGGCTGAACCACATGGGGGAAACTAGAAGGGGCTGCAGCACATGAAGTTTATGTTTTTGGGGCCTGGACACATTTTTCCCTAGTTTTAAACCAATTTTCCTTATATTTACTAGTATCCCATTGCACACGTGCGCATGACAAAAAAGGATGATATATTAGGTTTTTATTGGATTTTTCAACTTTGAGGAGGATATTGGGGTGGTTTTTTTCCAAGCGTGAGAGTATTTTCGTAAGTTTTTTTCAAGTGAAAGAGTATTTTTGTTGATTTTTTTTTCAAATGAGAGGGTATTTCACTTAATTTCTTCAAGTATGAGGGTACTTCTATAGTTTCCTCTAAGTCTAAAGGGTGTTTTGGAATTTTAAAAATATAAGCCACAAAATGAAAGGGGGGGTTTTCTTAATATACAGTATAGATAATGATGTCTGAGTTATTATAGTTATATTAGCGGTTATATTCCGATCTAAATTTATATACCTAGGTGGTGCTTTACAAATTGAGTTAGCCAGGTTAAGTGAAACTGTTATACCATAAAATGACCTAAGTGTTAATCCTCCTCCAGGAGTCGACATGTGTCCCAAATTAGCTACGCATCGACTTGATCCTAGGCAGGACGAGTCCGATAACGTCTTCACTCAACCCTTACCAAGAAGAGCTGAGTGGAAAGGTGTCCTTATTCGAGCCCCATAGTTCAAGACGACCCCATGCCACTTCATTTGGCGAGACTGGATCGAGAACCTCCCAGTCTGAGATAGCTGAATAAAAAGGCGTCCTTTGTCGGACCACTCGCAAAGCCAAGTCGAGAGGGGGTTTGTCCTCAAACTCCCCCTAGATAGCCAGTCACTGTCACAGTGAATGCATAGTTAGAATCATCATTGCTCCAACCCCAAAAGTCTTTATGACTCATCGGACTCCGTTAACACCATGCTTCGCTTATCACCATCATATAAAACGCATAGATGACTCGTCCCATCTGCAGCCTATACCTGTAGAGTATTTGCCAACTCAGCTACCTGCCTAGACTCAACGAAAGTTACATAAACACTCCTGTCAGCTAGGTATAATTAGGCATATCGCTTACTGACCAAAGGTACGCAATTTTCAGCACACTTTGAGGGAGATATATTAGTTCCTTGATCCCCTTCAGGTCATGACTACCTTGATCGTTAGAGGAATCACCAAAGAATCCAACTCCGGTCCTCTAACATGTTACAGGTTTGCGGGACGCTCCTTCCATCGGGGGATCGGTCATCAAAGGAGGTCAGGGGACCCTAAGCTCTTCAGATCAGCCCCAAATCTCGTTCTTCAGAACTCCACATCAACAGAAACAGTAGATGGATCAGGGATAGTCCTAAGTTGGCAAGATCTAACAACTTGACTTAACCAGCCTATGTTAGACCACTTTTTTGCTATATAATCGAATCAAGAATAATCCAAACTCCAGAGTCTAGAAGTAATCCGAATTAGGTTGGTTTAGAAATATAACTTGAATTAACTCTTAAGGTGCCAAACTTTGTGTTATGCAAATAATCCCAATTTCAAAATTGGGCTAGCCATACGGTGCCATGTCAGCAAGTGACTTAATCAAAAATATAATCAACCTAACTTGCTAAAGTGTGAGATAACTGCACTCAACATACCTAACTCGGGTCACGACCCTTAGGCCTGACCACTAAGCATGTATAGGCAGTCTAGGCCCATGACAATCAAACTCATCTCGGTTCAGATATCATGTCTTACTCCGATCTGGACCAATCTTTGATTGGAAACAATTGACTCGAATCTTATCATGTTCTCAACATACATACCATATATCAATTGATAACCAATATCTCTAATTGACAACTCCCATAATAACTTAGCCACAACCAAACGGTGGGAACTCTGAAGTCTAAGCGTGCTTAGGAACCAAATTGCAAAACTATCTTAGTTTTTGAGGGAAATATACAATCAGGCCCCTCCTACCAAAATGTCCCTTAGCGTATGTTTTTCGAACGTGAGGGTTCTTGGTAACTGAGGGACCAAATTGCAAAGGTTTGAGGTATTAATATGGAATTATTGAAGATTTGAGGGACTAATATCTAAGAAAACACTCCCTCTGTTTATCGATTACAATTTACAACAGTGCATAATGAACTTCTAATTGGGTGTTACATAGATTGTTTTTTATTTTATTTTTTTTTATTTTTTCAGAATCATTTCCCTTGCTTATGGGAAGGATAGAGCTCCAACTGCAGTTTCTTGCAGTTCAATCCAATCCAATCCTCAAACCCAAAACCTCACCCTCTCTCTCTTTTGCAATCTCTTGTTAGTTGGCGAAAGGTATACCCATCTCTTTTGTCCTTTTGACAACAAATTTTTGTTGAACTCTGACCTGGCTTTTCCCTTCTGTAGCTTGTTTCTTCCTCTCTCTCGGTTGCTCTCCTCAAGCTTCTGCGGTTTCTGATTGGGATTCAAGGTATGGCTTCTACTTTTGCTGTTTTTTAATTTAAAAATAAAAAAATTTTGGGTGTTTTTTTTGGGATCTGAGAATGTGGGTATCCCTTATTTTCTTCAGTTTTCTTGGTCTTGATCATGTATATCATTAATTGGGTGTTAAATCAGCTCTAAAAATCTATCCTGAGAGTAATTTTATCTGAATTAACTGAAAGATGTAAGCCCTCTTGGAACTAGGGATGTTGTTTATTTGAAGTTTTTGATAGTAGACGTTGATTTTTTTTTTCTCTTCTGGTGATGGAATTGATTTATTTTATTCATGGAACTAGGAAATCCTGACCGGATTGATTTTTCGCTCGATTAGTAGTGATCATCTCATATTTTGCTACATTGTAGTTGCCACCTCATGTATCTTCAGCTCAAACCTGTGCTGGTGCTATGTGATAGAATGTCTGAGTAGGCTTGATTGTTGTTAAAGCATTATTCATGTATGTGAATTGGGCAATGACTGTAAAAGGACCAAGTATTGCTTCTTGGTTGTTGATGAATGATACTTACTCATTTCCAATTGTCATAATGGCTTGCTGCTTCTTTCGTTGCCCCGATAGAATGTACTTGGACTGGTTGTTGCTGCTTCTTGGTTGTTGATAGAATGATACTTACTCATTTCCAATTGTCATAATGGCTTTCTGCTTCTTTCGTTGCCCCGATAGAATGTACATGGAGCTGGAAAACTCAATGGATTAGGATCTATGGTCTTTCCGTGACCAAATAGTGGAAATTAGATTATGAATTAAGACAAGCATAGGATGTGATATGAGTCTTATAAGTCCTTCTCAATGTTTGCTGGCTTGGCTTCATAATCCTATCTTGCATACTTTGTACAGGAGGTTTGTACTGGAGGTACCTACTGTGTCATACAAGCCTCATATTTTTTTGTAGTATTTTCCACATAAACCGACGTCAATTTTCTTGTCATGGCATGTCAACTTCGTAGTTAGCTATATACGACGAAAAAGGAGTGGAGAATCCAGGTCAGATAGCCTGTTGTAGAAACAGTAGCATATATGATGACACTGTGAAATTGGATATTGTAAATATTTAATTTGAGGGTTTGTCTATGATTATTAAATTTATTATGTTCTGCCATCTCTCTTAGTTGGTGTTAGATTGATGGGCTTGCAAGTTGCAATTTCACGAGGAATATTTCCTATTTGTTACACTACGATCTTCTATATGGAGAAGGTTATAAGATAAGAACAATAACTTAGACGCTCTCAGCTCTGAAATTTTAGATATCTAATTCATTTTTGATATATTTTACATATCTAATTCATCTTACTTCATTATGGGATGTTTCTCTTCACCACTTTACCTTATGATTTCTATCTCTTTTTTTTTCCTTTTTTTGTAGCGGCTTTTCCGATCTATTGGTTTATACCTTGTTTGTTGCGAATTCATTGATATTGCAATCTTAGTTTTTAAATTTTGAATCATTGAATTGTGCACGTCATTGAATAAGTAGATACTAATATAATGTCGCATGTTTTGCGATCACTTTAAGATTATAATGCAGACTTCAGTTATGGCGATGAAGTCTTACAGATTCCAGGCAGAGTTATTCGTCAGGGACTATTTTCTAACAGATCCATTTGTCCCATATACTTCAGTTCTGTGTGGCATTTTCATGTGCAAAATGGTATGTCTCACATTGTTGTTGCTAAACCTGATTACAATAGTTGTTTAATTTGATAAGAACCATAATCTCTACTCTATTATCTAGTAGTAAATTCTTATTTGTTGTGCAGGCATATGATCTTACTCAGTTAATCAGTTCTTTCTATTTCAAGGGTTATGCTTCACTAACAAAGATCCAACGGATAGAGTGGAATAATCGGTAGGATTGAATGTCTTTATGTAGCATTTTGTAAGTCATTTATTGCACTATTTAATATCTATTTATAAAAACTTTATTTTGCAGGGGTATGTCTAGCGCCCATGCTGTTTTTATCACAACAATGTCATTATACCTAGTATTCTTTTCAGATCTATTTTCTGATCACCGTGAAGGGTTGGTTACAGTACGAAGTTCAAATCTTTCTACTTTCGTATTGGGGGTAGGCCTCTTCGGCCTTCTGTTAATGTCCATATTTAAAAAAAAATTGTTATTAGATCTCAATCCATAATATGAATGAGTCATTTAAACAGGTTTCAATTGGGTATTTCATCTCCGACATTGCGATGATATTTTGGTTATATCCTTTGCTTGGTGGAATGGAGTATGTAAGTAAATGAGCTTTTGAGTTATCAATTTACCTGTCTTAACATGGTGGCAGTAAGTTAGAAAAAGTTCCATACCAAGTTGTGTACTTAATATAATTTAGGTTAATTATGGATAGATCCTCTGCATTATAGCCCAGTTGTGGATAGACCCCCTAAAGTTCTATTGGTGTGGATAAACCTTCTATACTATTGCCCAAGTGCAGATAGACCCCCTGAGTGAATCATTTTGGACTCTTAAAAAAAGCATCAAATAAGTTTACTTTGGGTGTCTATCTACACCAATAGAACTGCCGGGTGTACATCATTAATTGGGCGATACTACAGGGGAATTAACCCTATAATTTACGCCATGATTTAAGCTTCTAATTCAATGTAAATTATGTACTCTGTTTTCTGTGATTGCCTCCATGAGTTCTTCAGTTAGTCAAAACTAGTGTTAGCTTATATGGTAATGATTTCTTTCGTAGGTTTTTCATCATTTGCTCTCTCTTTGTGGTATATCATATGCCATGTTGGCTGGTGAAGCGCAGGTATATACTTACATGTTGCTGATATCTGAGGCAACCACCCCCGGGGTTAATTTGCGATGGTATCTTTATAGACTTTACTAAAAATGTTATGATAAAAGGGGCCACTTTGTACTTAAACCTATTGACACTTTTTCTTTTAAACATTGAAGGTTCCTTGACACGGCAGGAATGAAAAGAACAAACGCATATCTAATTAATGGTGTTCTCATGTTCTTCGCTTGGTTGGTATGTTCAATAAAACCTTTTTTATTTTGTTTTTGGTACATAAGCAAAGGGCATCTCATCCTGCTTGAGATGACTCTTCTACTATCATGTCAAAATGCATTATAATTGACTAAATAGCTTCATCGTCATGAAATAACCCCAATTAAACAATCGTTACGAGTTTTACTTTGCAAACGCTTAGAAAGAAATATGGGTCTTGTACTTGTGATCAGGAGGTCATGAGTTCAAATCCTGGAAACAGGCTCTTCGCAAGTGGGGGTAAGGCTGCATACATCTGACCCTCCTCAGAGCTCACAATGGTGGGAGCCTCGTGCACTGGCTACCCTACTTGAGTCTTTTTGCAACATGATGTAATATCTTCAAGGTTCAATACAATTTTTCCAACAAGGCTTGGGTATCCCTCTCTATCATGAGTCTTCTACTACGCTTATATGAATATCCAAAAGAAGCTTACCTAGGTATCTTACAGGTGTGTTTGTTTCCATGTCAATTGATACTAATAGCGACTAATACACATCAATATTTTTAAGTGATAAAAGGCAGAAGGACAGGAGTGGAAAGGCTTAAAGTTGCTTGATCTCATAGGGAGAAGTAAGAAGTCTAATAAATGTGATCTGAAATTAAACATTCCCATATAAGACAAAATATGTCTGCAGTTATTTGAATAGTGTATAAACTCACATGAGTCAGTGTGGATCATGATAGAGTATTTGTCACCGACGTTGAATAATCAGTTTGATTGCATGTGCTTGAAGATTGTAAGGTCTGTCAACCACCATTTTTAGGGATGGGTAATTGGAATTAAGAAGATGGGAAAAAGATAATTTTCGTTTAGGATATATTTTATATCTCAATAACTATATTGTCAACAATGATATTTGGTGAGAATTATCAAATGTACAGATCACTTCTCAACATATATTTCCTGTTATCTCTAGGATGATAACCTCTGAAAAATATGAAAGTTTGACCTTTCTTTATTTACTTATTGATACAGGTGGCCAGAATTCTTTTGTTTGTTTACTTGTTCTACCACATCTATTTGCACTATGATCAGGTACAAATAAAGATCACAACTCTTTACGAAATGATATTTTCAGTGACTATTTTGCCTACCATAATCATCATTTCTCCGTACGTTTCAGGTCGAGCAAATGCACACCTTTGGTTACCTTTTGACATTTGTCGTGCCTTCGGTATTGGCGATAATGAACTTGATATGGTTTTCAAAGATATTGAAGGGGCTCAAGAAACAATTAGCCAAGAGGCAGTGAAAGATGGAGCTCTCTGTATATTAGAAGATCCTTCTCTTTTCCTTGTATAGATAAGAGTTGTGAACATATTTTGAACTGTAAAGCAAAAGTGATGCAGCCAATGAGCAAGGGAATTGATGGGATGGGTGGCTCTTGCGCTGATTTGTCAGTTGTATGTGAATATTGTTAGCTGGGTTTTTGCTACTTGGGGCTAGTTTCGCTCATGTTTGATTAAATTTCCCAGGAGGAAGGTTGAAGGCTGTGAATGTGCTTTGAAAATGATGTGGCTAGTGATTATGGTTACTCTCCATTATTATTTTATGATTTTAGGGGCTATTTTAACACGAACCTACAAGCAGCGTGGCGGTCAAAAAATCGCAGAATCCATCTGCACAAAGAATCACGATGATTTTATCAAGATCTTGTGATATTTTGTCCGTGAAAAAAGGACAAGTTTTCAAAATAGATCATTTTAGAAAGTTATTCATCATTTTCGACCTAGTTTTCATTTATTCACCAATTTCAACCTAATTTTAGACACGTTGGCACCATCGACTAAAACTGGGTTGAAATTGGTAAATATTTTTCAAAAACTTCACATGATTGAGAATTTCATGGAGTTAAGTACAGAATTAAACTCTACAGGAAACCTAATTCCGTGGAGATTAAATTTGCCCTAAAGTCCCAGTGGAGTTTGTTTTAGTCCAAATTGCACGAATTTCCCAAGCTCGTGGAGCTGCGGGGTAAACCATAGAGAGTGTTCGCTCTTTGTGAATTGAGTCCTGCACTCCATGCGACTGAGAATCCCATGAAGCTTCAGAGTAAACTACAAAGAGCATTCGCTCTTCGTGAATTGAGTCCTGCAACTTCGACCTCCCTTGGGTTAAAGTTAACCAGCGTACATTGGAATTCGTCGTATTTCATGTTTAGGGTTTCGGCCTATTTTTTGTAAAACTTTTTTGGATATTTTTCTTATTTATTTCACATATTCGCGCTATTTCATCATAATAGCTTGTTTTAGTTTAGATTTTGGATTAATATTTGATTTATTTTTTGGGGGGATTTGTATGTATATTTTGATGGAAATTTAGGGAAAATTATATGGAATTTGAAAGAAAAGTAGGGAAAATGAATTGGACAATGTTAGTTAATTTAATTGATGTTGTGGGTTTGGATTGATGTTTATCCATAGAGCTTGTTTTAGTTTATATTTTGGAATAATATATGTGAGAGTTTTTTAAATAATTGTATGAAATTGGAAGGAAACATTAGGGGAAAGTTATAAAAATTAGGGAATTGAATTGGTCAAAAATTGATATATTAGCTTTAGTGTTCTTCGTGTAATATTAGTTGACGTTGAACTTTTTTTTACTCCTTAGAGGTAACGATGAATGATTGATTCTTAATCCTTTGTTCGTTTGCTGGGAAGATTAATTACCTTGAGAATAACATGCATGTATATGAAAGAGGGGTGATGAAACCTTTGTTTATATCCAAACCATGTACTTTCAATGGATTGATAAATGACTTACACAAACTTTACATTGACTAATCCACGTGAGTATCACCTCAATGTGATTTGTAATTATCCCATGATGGTGAGCAAAACAAGCGCTATTCAAATCTCTAATGACTATGAGATGAGCCTTATCTTCATATTGAACGACAAGAAGCATTAGGTGGAATTGTTTATTGAAAAGATTCAGAAAAATTAAGGCAAAGTGATGAATCATGACAGAGTGTACTCTCGCATATTAGAGGACCTTGAAGTTGACTCGAACGGTTTTTTATCTCCATAACAGGATATGGTTTTGACACAATCACAACACTTGAGCGGGCATTTGCTTGTAGGGACTTCAAGTACCTTTGATGATGACATTTTCTGTCAAGATGTAAGACCTTCCAATAAAGTGATGATATAAGGGGAGGATGCAAGTGTCGATGGTTGCCTGATGTGAGCAAAAATTGTGTACATTATCAATGGTTGCACATTACACAGGTTAGGCACTATGTTATTTTCTGATGCGAGCAAAAATTATGTACATTGTCAATGGTTGCCACTTCTTGAGGATTTGAAGGAGTGTTGGCACCATTTCATGGGGTTGTACAGTACTGGCATACTTCTATAGAGATATAGCAAGGGTGTCATTGATGAAGAATAAGAATTTTAAGGGTTGCATGACTTTGCTACAAGTTTGGTTGTGGGAAAGCACCTATATTGGACAACATGCTTTACATATGCATCATATCTTTTGGGTTAGCTTCCATTAGGATGCGGGTATACAAATGTAATATTTATAATTATTTGTATTGCTTAGTTTTATTCATATAGAAATTTCTGATATCTTTTTTTCATGTCAAACAAATATAATGTGAGGAGGTAATTTTATAATACCTCGACGACATATGCAGATTTTTATAGAAATGAGCTAGATATTATACAACACAAACAGGTAAAATTTGTCTCACAATTCAAGATTTATATTCATATTTTTTTTTGTATATGCTAATACATGCTTTTTAAAATTAATTTTTTAGTTCTAGTGAACGTCCTATAGTCCCGATGATCTTGATTCTCTTGCACCTATTCGTAGAGAGAGGTTTGATTTGTGGAGGGCTAGAGTACCGTTGATCTATTTTGAGATTGTGGAGATGCATGTGCCAGATCGTGTTATGTGGTAATTTCATTTAGGTCAACGTTTACCCAATCATATTGAGCAAGTTGATCGCATGTGTTGGATGACATCACATCATGTGGATTGGGGGAGATATCATAAATCATACATAATCAGGTGGAATAACAGACATAATATATATCTTGTAGAGCATGAGAGAGAGCCACTTTCATATATAGAGTATATGCATAGGTATTGGGCTATCATATGTAGATGGATCGTACGTGACCCACACCCAACAGATGGATTCATACCACGCCCCCATCAGATACTTACATGCTGGAGTGGTCGAGAGAGATTATGCAAGCTTTTAAACTCAAGCAAAAAAGAGTATTCTTCTTTCGAAATTATATGACTTGCTAAGTTGTGTATCTTCTTATTAAAATACAGTCCATGCATTTGTTAAAATTAAAGAAGATATAAATGAGAGCATTGTTGAGATTTAGGATCCAAAAGCACTATTTGTATTCAATAGGATTAGACGGACTATAGCCAGCGTCTTCCATAGGAATCACGTCAATAAGTTTGAAGGTTGTGAGGACAAGACACGCCAATTCGTAATAGCGTACACTCAAAGACGTAAGGAGGCCTCTTCTAATACATGTGATGATGGAGCTGACTCTTCTCAGCGTGCTCCACCTAATGCGGATGATCCACTAGCTATACAACTTCATACGCAGCCAGATACTGAGATCATTGAGGCTCATGATCACGGTCATCAGAAATGTGGAGGGGTGGGGGTGGGCGGTGAAGGGATGAGGAAAGAGGTAGGAAAGGAAGAGGAATGAGGGGAGGAATACTATGATGTATGTGGCTCTTTTTTAATATGATATGATGTTTATTCTGTGATTGTGGATCTTTCATGAATATATATGGTTGGATTATTCGAAAATATTACTTGTGTGGATCGACTTTCGCGTAGATATGCGATTGGATTTTTGTATATTTATGTTTGTTGGATTTTCGTGTGTTGTTAGATTTTCATGTACATGTGGTTTGATATATGTCGAGTTTGTGTACATATAATAGGTTGTGATAGAGAGAGATAGCAAACTACTCTTTATAATGCTCTGCAAGTCCATAGAATAGGGAATATCGTGGAGTTTGTGCTGAAACAAAACACAAACTCCCCAATCCCGTGGAGTTTAGTAGAGTTATGAACTCCACGGGATTCAGAATTTCGTACAGCTTAGTTCTCACCTGAAACTTCACGAGATTATTAATCCCATGAAATTTGTGAAAAATACTTACCACTTTCAACTCGGTTTCAGCCCACATTCTTGATGTGGTTGAAACTAGGTCCAAATCAGTAAATAAATGAAAATTAGGTCAAAATGGTGAGTAAGTTTCTAAAAGGGTTTATTTTGAAAATCTGGCCACAATATGTGAAGCCTCTTCGCAGAAGGATTTGATAGATCTAAACCAAAACTTGAGATCTAAAACCATATAGCCATGATTAATTCAAAGAGATTAACAATAATTATAACCCCATGACTTATTTAAATACCAAATTAACCCAACTTAATTGATCACTTTAGTGGGTTATCCTGAAAGATAGCAATACACATTGATTAATCATATGTGCCCACAAATAGATTTATTAGATTAAATCCAACAATCTCCCACTTGGGCACCATATGATTCCTTAAATTGTGTATAACCTTATGAGCTCAAAAATTGCTATCACTGAAAAGGTATTTCCGAACAATCTCGTCCATTGACTATATCAATATAGGATCAAAGCGGCCTTCGTCACATTTATCGTGACTCGACCCATCAATGGTCACATATACCAATACAATCAAACGACATAGATCAATCATGGATGTGCAGCATGAAAATTACATGCAATGTGATCAGTACATGTCTATTTTCAACTGGTCCTCCTTAGTGAGGTCAAAACCAAACATAATGTAACAGAGTGTCTTAACTGAAAACTTTATTCTGATCAGACAATACAAACAAACATAAAGCACCACAAATACAAACTCCCACTAAAACATAATATCCTCAAATAATACCACACCCATATGAGCAGTATGCTCATGAAAGACCTTAGGTGGCAATCCCTTAGTAAGAGGATCAGCTATCATGGAGTTTGTCCCAATGTGCTCTATGGATATCTGTCCACTCTGTACCCTTTCTTTCACAACCAGGAACTTAATGTCAATATGTTTTGACTTAGTTGAGCTCCTGTTGTTATTGGAATACATTACTGCAGATTTATTGTCACAATATAACCTTAGTGGTCTTTCAACATTTTCCAAAATGCGCAGTCCCGTGATAAAATTTCGCAGCCATATTCCTTGGTTGGATGCCTCATAGCAAGCTATAAATTCTGCTGCCATAGTGGAGGAAGCTACTAGTGTTTGTTTGATACTTTTCTATGATATAGCTCCTCCTGCTAACATATAAATGTAGCCTGATGTAGACTTTCTGCTATCTTGGCATCCAGCAAAATCAGAATCCGAATACCCAATGACCTCTAATTTTTCTGATTTTTTGTATGTGAGCATGTAATCTTTTGTTTTCTGAAGATACCTCATAACCCTTTTGACTGCTATCCAATGATCCATACCAGGGTTGCTTAATTATCTGCCTAACATC